CCGACCATATTTTACAAAGAAGCTGATGCATGCTCCTTATCAGCTCTTCGCCGCCGTGTTTGAATAGCTCGGCCGGCAATCCATCGGCCCCCACCACTTTGTTGTTCTTCAGGCGGGTAATTGCTATTCGAACTTTTTCCTGGTCGGGCAATGGAACGTCTGCTCCATCGTCATCGATTGGGGAATCGAGTTCGCCTTCTCCTGGCGTTGTACGTTCACTGCCATTCAGCAGGCTGGAGAAGTGTTCCCTCCATAATTTAAGTATGCTCTGGGGATCGGTGACTAGATCACCTTTGGGTCACCAGTCTTGAAACCTTCTGTAAGCCGCCGCATTTTTTCGTAGAATTTTCGAGCATTACCCCTGTCGGCCAGCTTATCAAGCTCTTCGTACTCAAACATTTCGGCTTCTTTCTTTTTCTGTCTGCAAATGTGTCTCGCTTCCCTCTTCAACTCTCGGTATCTATCCCATCCCGCACGTGTTGTGGTCGATCGTAACGTTGCGAGATAGGCAGCCTGTTTTCTCTCCGCTGCGACACCGCACTCCAATGGTTTCGGTTGCAGATGTACGTAAGGAGTTTCAAATGCCGTTCCACAGTTCCCTTATACCGAATTGTTGATGAGTGCTCTCAGAGAGCAGGAGTGCAAGCCGTTTAGAAAATCGTTCGGCTGTCTGTTGTGATTGCAGCTTCTCGACGTCGAACCTTCCTTGTGTTTGATGGCGTGCGTTTTTTGCTGCACAGAGGCGCGTGCGAGTCTTGGCTGCAACAAGATAGTGGTCCGAGTCGACGTGTCTTCCGTCTATTACAACATGATCGATCTGGTTGGTGGTTTTTCGATCCGGAGACAGCCAGGTAGCTTGATGTATCTTCTTATGCTGGAATCTAGTACTACAGATAACCATATTTCGGGTCGATCAGCCTCAACTCATTTGGGGATGTTTCCTCGTGGAGGCTGAATTTACCGACCGTAGTGCCAAAGATACCTTCTTTGCCCACCCTGGCGTTAAAGTCGCCAAGCACGATTTTTACATCGTGGCGGGGGCAGCATTTTTGGTTCCAGTCTACAATATATTCAAGATAATTCATTCACTTCATTTGATTGAGATCCATGATATTGAGCGACATAGGTACATTTGGTATAAAGTACATATGTGGTATAAAGTCAACCAGAAGATAAAAAGTCCTAATAGTGTGAATATAAGCGGAAAATATTTATAAATGATGTTGTCGCAGTGGATTAGTCAGAAAACCCATAGTGCTGATCGCACCTGCAAACGAAGATTAAATGTTTATGTACAGTAATATTGAATTTCTCGTTACTTTCGATCCGTTTTCCTTTTCCGTTTTCCGTTTTCCACATTTCACAATACTATTATTCACTATAAATTTAACTTGTATTGTGAATAGTTCATTTGTAAACAGCTAATCACAATGGGTTGCCAATACCTTGCAAATTTGGTCAGCTGTTCTTGCAAGTATATGCGATATATTTTGTTATTTAGTTTCCAATAATTCTAACTACAGCTAATTATTGGTAAAATTCAATGATTTTACGCAATTTAATTATGTAAATGAGAAAGTATTATCTCAAATAGCAGAGGTATAAATATTAGTTTCTACTGTTATGCAAACCCTTTCTAAAGAAGTCTAGTGCAACCAGAGTCAACTCTGTCTTTAATGAAAACAAACAAAAAATTCAAGTTCTTCCATAAGGTGTGTGAAAGGGTAATATGTATTAAAAATTATGGTTTGTGGAAATGACCTTTGATGTTTGATATTGTTTTATGTGAACTAGAAATTGGCGATTCGCTGTTTTAATCCATTTCATAAACATATCGCAAATAGAAGAGCTATAAAAAAAGTTTGACAGTGTTGTTTATGTTAGAAAACGATTGCAAAGTGTGCTTCCTACAAGTGTTTACACATGTACACCCTCCTCCATCCACCCACAAAGTATTAGCCGAATATACAACACGCACATTTCATTTGTGACGCAGCAGCAATACCATTGTTAATGGCTTCGAATTCGCAGGTTGGAAAAATTGTGGTCGTCGTTGCACTCACATTATTTCTCTACTATTTCTTTTGGGTATCCATATTGCCGTTTATGCTAATTGATGAAGGTGAGCGGAGTGATGACAGATATAAAGATTTTAATATATGATAACTAAAGGCATTGACTGTCCTATTGTATTCCAATTAATCTGAGCTGATGTCAGTGAACATATGTAATGTGACCATTTTAGTTCCATAAACGAAAAACATACGCATGTATAAATATTCCATTAAAAGAATATGTGCTTTCTAAATTCTGTTCCTTTGCATATGTTACGTATTTTATTGTATCGATATATGAAGTTTTATTTCTTAATTGCTCTATTTACAGGTAACTTCATACATTCGCTATTTCCGCCGCTTGAATATGCATTCATATTTCCCGCAATATTTGGAGTGATATTTCTTGGTGGCATATCAATATACACGCTGTACCACATTTGGGATCATATTTGGAAGAAAAAAACTATTTAAAATCGTACGTGATTAGCTGCTCTTACCTTGTTCTAAAATAAAAACAAAACATCAGTGAAAAGCAAATAATTGTGAAACGCGTCAGCGCCTGGTTCATAAGGTTATCTAACATTGGCACACTATTTCCCGTTCGAACTTTATCAGCTCTAATTGTATACTTCAACTTTCGACAAATACCGGCAGTAAGTGTATTGAACTGGTGAAAAGCGAGCGGTCTAACAGAATGCCGCCGTGGCTGGTAATAGGTGTTTCAGGTGTAACATGTGGTGGTAAAACAACTTTGGCACACCGCTTGCGAGACTACTTTCAAAAATCACGCGGCGGATCATTGTGGAATACCCCCTACGTTGTAGGCGACGTACAGCTTATATCACAAGATGATTACTTCCTACCAGTTTTCGATTTGCGACACAAGTGGAATGAAAAACTGAACGTGATAAATTTTGAGCTATTAAGCTCGCTCGATATGAAACATATGCTCTCTGACATAGCATGGATAATGAAAGGACGTAACTTGGCAAGTGATCCAATGGAATACGTTGATTACATTAACGAGATGTCCATGTCAACGAATTTCGAGCATTATGGGCAACCAGTTACACAACAAATGTACCATCCAAACAGCTATAAAGTCAATCAATGTGGCTTATCATCGCGACATCAAAGTCAACAAACACAAAGTCAACACAATCAATATCTACATCATCATTGTCAGCCACTGCAGCAGCATGCACACATTCATGCAAATGCCAATGTGGCCCATTCTTCCCACATAATGCGTATTAACTCACAATTGGCGCATATGCGTGACAACAAAATCAATCTACTCATAATTGAAGGTTTCACCATCTTCAATCAGCCGGAGTTATTAACATTATGTAATATTAAGTTCCATTTTCATTTGCCATATGAAAAATGTTACGCGCGTCGTCAGAAACGCACTTATGATCCACCTGACGTCACTGGATATTTTGAAATATGCGTATGGCCACATTATGAGAAGAATTTCAATGAGATACGAGATCGACAGGATATTACGTTCCTCAATGGCGAATTAAGCAAAGAACGTATTTTCAAGTTTGTTCTACAAAAAATATCCAACTACTTTGAGGAACGCTGCGATGTGGCCTGTCCGCCACCACAAAAGCTTTTAGGCATACCGAGTTGTTTGGCAAATGGTCCCTTGAGTAATGAGAGTTGTGCTAGCAGTAGTACACGTTTAATAGCCGGTATTAGTGGTAACGTGAGAAAAGCCAGCCCTATGGAACAACAGTGAATTTATGGGGGATTTATTTTGAAATTCTCTACTGCGAAAACTTGTTTCAATTGTAAAGATTTCCTAACATATTATTTACATTAATTTATTACTATTTAAATGCACCGAAATTTTACATCTTAAGAATGTTATTTAAGAAATGAGGATACCAGTTTTTGGTTGTAATAAAGTTGCAGTCTTTTTAAGTACCGAAATTGTAAAAACTCAAGTTGTATACTTTTTGTATATAGATATATATTAAAGAGGAACCATCGTACCTTGTACTCACTATGTAATTATGCGTACAAAATATTAAATAATTTCCATGAATGTAAATGAACTATAAATGAATGAAAATAGTAATCGTGAAATAAAAGATTATACTATCATATATATAAAAATGATTTTTGTTATAAACTCGCAGAACCTCCGAACCACAGCACGGAAAAACGTGAAAATTTGCAGTTATTGGTGTATTTCTGCAGAAGGTTCTAGAGGTTTTTTTTTATTTAGGCAGATATGATGTTTTGTCGAAAAATTTTAAAACTAATAAAACAAATCCAGACAAAATTTAGGATAACACCATCAGCACGAAGATGAGCTTCGTGGTATGGTATTTGTGATACATTGATATTTTTTCAAGGAATTCAATGCGAGCGGAGCCGCGGGAAAAGCTAGTAATTGATGAAGTAAAACTGTTTTTTCCTCTTTTTATTCAATAAAGAAAACTAAGCCTTTTTTGCACAGAGTAGTGGATGAGGAACGGTAATCAAACTATAGTAAATTGTACTTAAATATTTCTCATTCGATTTGCTTTATCTATGAGTATATAACCGCAAGAGCTTAAATTTCGCAACACAAAGCTTAAGTGTTTCACTCTAATAATGCTCTGTTTATTAGATTTGCCAGAATTATAAATATTTCATATTTTTATTGGTTTGTTACACTTGTAATTATTATCCAATACATTGCGAAATTGGTTTATTATTGTATTTCTATATTTTTGTTTTAACTTCCTATCATACGATTTTATTATATATTTGTATAAAGTGAACATCCTACAATGGTATTCAATTTCTATGCATGCCATTACAAATGTATGTGTATGTATATTTATAAACTACTAAATGACGTGTTTTCTGTTTACATTGCATTTTTATGCATGTGGTGTGGGGTGACTACGAGATACAAACATTTTCTTTTAATTGTTCTGTTAAGTTTCTAGTTCTAGTATGCTTTGTAACAACAGTTATGTATGTGTGTAATGTAGTTTTATATGCGAATATTACGCATAAATTATATAAACACTTATTACTCTGCGGAATTGGCATGCCCAACAAGAGACTGCAAAAGAACATGGTTTGGATGATGGCGAAAATGGTGACATAGCCAATACTTGCATTAGGCGTAATTGCTTTTCCATTTTATTTCTACTGTACTAAAAACTAGCAATTTACTTTTGTAATGATTATTTTTGCAATTGAAATGTGGTTTTTCAATTTTTAACAGCTTTTCGATTTACAAAAGTACGTTTACAACTCTCTATGAAAAATTATGTTCATTATGTTGGTAATTATTCGATTTCTGCGTGCCATTATATTATATCAATGTGTCTATTTGTATTCTAGTAGTTAAACTTTATGAGTTAGTCAATAACTTCGGTAGCCGGTACAGTGCTTACACTGAATTGATTGAAGTTGCAGTTTCCGTTTTCTCTTACAACGCATCCCAATCAATTTGATTATTGTAAACTTCTTCTTCTAGCCATATCGAATAATTTTCCTTGAAGTAGTCGGTCAACTCCACTTTGCGATCCCACCAGCCTGAGTGTCCAAAGAAAGCAAAATCTGAGTGCGATAGAATTTCGTCGCTTGGAAAGCCCCCCTCGACTCCATAATCATTCAATTGTGCGTGTCCATTGCCACCACCGCCTGTACCACTACTGCCGAAACCGTTAGCCTCATTTCCACCACCAGCCATGTTATTACCACTTCCTGTACCGCCTCCTATATTACCCGAAGATATATCTGAATTGCCGGAATTTCCATTGTTGCCACCTGCACCACATTTCTGTGTAGCTTCGGGATAGCGTCGCAAATTAAAACGATCTACGCAGGCACGCAATGTACATTCTTCAGCCTGAAAATCCCATGGACGCGACTCCAAGTCATTGCCAAAAGCCCAATCATCGTTAAGGCGATGTCTTACTTTCGCATAAATGGCACTCATTGTCTTCATATTAGATTTGCGCCATTGGCGTCCCAAATATTTGGTTTGCATTTTAAGTAGCTTCAATACATATAACTGCATCATAGCATGGCGAACCTTTAGTGTCTTCTTGAGTATCGGTGCCGATTTGAAGACGACCAACATCATAACTCGTGAATGTTTCCACTTAATTAACTTATTAAGTATTCGTAAGAGATTAATGCAGGAGAAAACGTTACGCCATGAATAGTAAGGCTTGTCGGCGGTTTCGCCGCTATAAACGAAGCTTTCGCCCGATAAATCTGGCTGTTCTCCAATTACACAGGAAGGGAAATCCAATAGTGGTATAGTATTCTTCATACCTACATATTCGGTGATAGTTTGATTGAAGAACTTGAGCACCAAAGGTATACAATTGGCGAATACAAGATGCTGCGACATAAATTCGAATTGGTAAATGTGATTAATTTTGAAATGTTTCAAATATAGCAGAATGATAGCTGAAACCGCTTTAACAATTATTTCCTTATGCCTACTCATGTCAACGGTTAATTTCTGCGAGTCCGTAATTGGCATTTTTTTCGGTAAAACGTCTGCCATTATATTAATGCTTTCCGTTTTCGATTTTGAAGTGGGTGATGCAGCCAATAAAACTTTCAGTAGTGCAATCATGTATTGTGGCAAATTCGGTAGAATCGCCTGATAAAGTACTTCGGCGGGATTTAATGGGATTTCATCTTCTTGTGTGGAGATCGGATTTCGGGCAATTTCTTCTTCTTTTTTTATTTGCACATCTGCTAGGCTCACATACATGTGACGTCGCAAAGTCTGAACGCCTTCATGAATTGGTTGTGGCAGTCCCGCAAGGCTCTCGTGATCATCAATCAACGAATAACCAATAAATTTATTTCGAGATATATCAAGGAATTGATCTATATCCTTTTGCCTTACTTTCGGAGTCCACGGCAGACGTGTTGTAACTTGTACCGGTAGTACGGGTGGTGGCTGTGAGAAGCTCTGCTGATTATTAGGGTTTGCGGTGTTTGCTGATGGATCTTCGAACTGACGATAAAACTGGGATATATCTTCCTCTTGATTCCCATTTCCACCGTTGTTGTTTGGTGGTGCACTTTCATTACCTGGCGTTAATTCCATATCCATCTGTTCTTGCTCATCAAGAAAACGTTGTTTCATCAATGATCGTCTGGAAATTAAAAAATAATTATAAATTAAAAATATTAATTAAATCAGAACTAACCTAAATGCATTTCGTTTGGGATTTTGATTATCCAAAATATCTGTAGCAGTTGCTGGCGGTGAGCTTGCACGCATATTTTTCGTGACTTCCAGTGTATCCTCAGTAACCGGCTCAAGTTCAGCTTTAATGCGATATTCATTTTTAAGGTTTTTTAACTTCTCCATTCCACCTAATCCCAATAACGTTATTTTCCACAATAATAGAACAACTTTTTTCATGGGAAAGTGTGGTGCGGCGCCACTACAAAAGCGAGTTATCATTCCCAAAAGTTTGACAGCAAGCAATTCACCATCAGGTAATGGACTATTTATTTCTTGTATGAAAGCTTCGGCAATATTTTTGTAGTCCTCACTTCCCTTGTCATACTCATCGCGAATAGTTTCCGCAATTATATACAATACCGAAAGGATTACTCGTAAGTCGGTCGAGTCTACTAAAGTTACATTCGTGATTTTAACAGCAACAATATCTGGAGAACATGCGCTCTCTATTTCCATATTAAGCAGATCTATAAAAGACGAAAAAACTCCTAATTCATATAATACAATTATATTGTCTCGTGTGATCTGATGTTGTTCTTCATCAGACTGAACTTCAGCCCAACATCCTTGTGCCAAATAGAGTATACAACGGGCTGCCTGCATTCGAAACGCTCGACTTGAAACTTCTAGTTGATCTATCAATTTCATTATAATACTGCGCTGTGATGAGCTGTCCTGTTTTTGCCAATTAGGTGGCAAGTCATACATTTCCATTTGATCTTCGAATGCTTTAACATTTTGTTGAAGTTCATTAAATTCTGTATAACTATATAATTCAGCAATTTCATTTTGATAAGTATCTACATCAGCATAAACAAAATCCAAATCAGGTCCATCACAATTGCCATCAACATCATGTGTATCCTGCTCGAAGGAGTTATTTATAGATGACAACATCATTTGGAAAACTTTCTTGGCAACGCCGTCTCACCACTGCCAAAAACAAGACTTGACTCTTTACCAGAATGTAGATAGAATAGTGTAAAAAACCTGAAATAATAGAAAAGTTTAAAAAAAAAATAGTTTTTCTATTCAAAATATAATTACCTGAAAACTTTTACTTGTTTATAAATGCTAGGTATGATACGAGAAGCACAACAAGCGTTGTTGTTGCTTATATACTCGCCGAGTTCAGTTAGGCCTTTGCTTTGCACTAAACCATCGGTGTAACCCACCTAAGATCTTTCCGCCAACATTTCATATAAATAACAATCGTTCAATTTCCGCAAACCTATGAACTTTTTCTTTTGAATATGTTATTGAATTCGTTTTGGAATAATACAAAAATAAATTTCTTTCCCGAGACAAGTTTTTGTCTGTATGACGGAAAATTTTCTTTGACAATCGATACTTTCCACAAAACAGTGTATATAACCCTCAAATTAAATTGGGGCTAAAAAATTCCCGTATTTGTATAGATTTATTATTCTAATAACCAATTATAAATTTGTGAAATAACTTAATAACTCAACTTGTTGGTTTCAAGCCAATTAAAATATACGTTCCAAGTGGGTACTACCCAAAACTCCATTATATTAATATGATTAGTATGGACTGTGCACCTCATAAGTCCTATGTGTAAGGCTGTTTTCTTTTCATCCTTACAAAATTCATAGAAACTTTAAAAGCATTCTCTCGTAGTGTTCACATGTATATGATTTAAGCAGTGATTGTTTTGCAGTTATACATGGTGTTCACGTTATTAACAAATACAAAAAAAAAATAAAATATTCAATAACACTCTGTAGTGGAACTTAAAATCAGCTGATAGAACGATGACAAGGCCAAACATCTTTGGGTGGTAAAACATATTTTTTGTGGTTTAAGCCGATCGCAATTTACTTCTTTGTTGTAGATAAAAATAGTAAGTAATTATATCAAAGTTTGTTTTGTAAATACGCATATTTAATTTAATTTAAACATTTATACTGGATATAAAAAAATTACCCGTTAAAAAATAATTAAATATATACGTATCGTAATGGAATGTGAACTTTGTACCAGGCAATTAAAAAATTATAATTTTTGGAAATTTTTTTTATGGAGGACACTGATATATCAGTTATTTCATAATACAAACAATATATTTTTTTGTTCAACGCAGACGTGAGTGCATACATATTTACCACACATTTCACAATTCTCATGGCTAGTTTGGTGCACTTTTTTATTGGAGCGCTTGTCACAGCAATCGGGACTTATTATTACTACAACCACCACGTACAAGTAAATAAATATATCGTAATCAGAAGTTAAACCAAAT